ATGCTCTATTGTAAACATGTTATATTTTATTTCGTTAAAGCGGCAGAATTAGTTTAGTAGGTCTCCGATGACGACGGAATCAATAAGTATATGCAATATATATATATATATATAATGCTCTATTGTAAACATGTTATAGATATAAATGTATTTTCAGAGTTCATAGACCTAACTGTATAAGCACTATATCTGTATGTTATAATGCACAATGGTTACGTCAACGTACTATTGTTCTACATCAGCCAATGTTCTTTGATATTCACACAAATGTACAGAGGGTGGTTTTCATTTTTAAGTTTTTTAACTTTATACCTTCGACGACTGAAAATATAAAATTGCAAAGTATTGTGGTTTCTTCCCTCCAAAATTCTACAAATGGAAATAGGATAAAATTGTGTGTATTAAGGTCTGATAACAAAACTATTGAACGCAATATGAAATAGGTGTACAATGAATTTTGCATTACAGAATATTTAAAGTCAAACGTTCTTATCTTGTCACTATGTTGTTTCTCCAAAATAGTTTGATACTCTCAAAAGATTTACAGGGCATAAGTGACGTCACGTGAAGAATTAGGGCAACGAATTAATAACTCGATTACTGAAATTCAGCAGCATTTACAAAAAATTCGTAATGTAATAAATTTTATACTAAACTGATATGAAACTTGTACCGACGTACAAGCATAAAAATTTGAAACAAAAAATTTAAATAATAATACGTCTCGTTACGTATTTCATATAGCGTTTAATTTTTTGTCTGTAACTATGTAATAGTGTTCATATCTGGTCTTCATATAACACAAATTTTTTCTTTCATTTCCACTTGTGGAATGTCCTTCTTAGTTTGGTAGGAAAAATATGGAGAGTCCTGTAGATCTTATTCCGTGTTTCATGATTGAAATTTTCAATTTTTTTATCTCGTCAATTTTGGTTTACCATCCGTTTAAACACGGGTTGCGCAAGGATTAATCTTTGGAGAAATTAAAGATTTGCTATATCTGTGGATTGAAGAATTTGCATCGTGGCGGATTACTTTCTTTTTTATTGATGTTTAACGATTATCATCATTGACAATGAAAAGTAAGAGTCTCTATACTACCATAGTAATTAAACAATGCCACCGATTCTGATGTGTTCATTGGCCGGAAACCTCCATGCCGACTATCCTTTTAAGAGAACTCAGCTTCTCTCAGTTTGTCGTCGACTCTCGTGGGTGACACTTTGTTTCTGGCTTTCGTGACTTGTCCACTATTAAAATTCTACAATGCGAATTTTACAATAAATTTATAAAATTATACTAAAGAGCATTAGTGTTATTTAGTTTCCAGACTTATGAATGGTACTGTTTTTCATGCTTTTGAGCAACAATGTCAAACTGATTATTTGATATCGTAAAATTAAAAAAAAAAAGTGAAACTGAAGTCGGTGCAGTTACTAATCTTTTTCAATTATTAATTGATACTGTGATGGCAATATAATGATTTCAAAATAAACGAAAAATAAGTATACACATTTTTAAACGTATTTATATTTTCAATTGGCTCTATCATTAATTATAAAATAATAAAAAAAAACAATGAACCCATCAAGTGATAAAGTGGACGTGGATAAGATGAAAATTGGATGTTACCAAATATCCGTTTTCCTTCTGATAGGGTTCAGTTACATGACAGTGTCATCGAATCATATTTTACCTGCATTTCACAACTTTACACCAAAATATTTTTGTGAGGTAATTTTTCAAAATTTTCTATGACACATCTGCCAATGACATGTTAGGCAGATTTTTTAATTTTAATCAAACTAAATATTATCATATATACAGTAACACCATAGCACTGACTGTTTTTTAGATACCAAATGAGAATAAAACGTATGGCTGTACCTCAGAATTATTCCCAATACGAAATCAAACGAAAAATCTTATCGGTAGGCTGGAATCGTGTCCGACAGGATATCATTTTGAAACTGTTGGCTACGAGAGCACTGTAGTCACCGAATGGGAATTAATTTGTGAGAGACGATTTCTGGCATCATTAGGCACGACTTTTTATGTTATTGGTATTTTGATTGGCGCTTGGCTCTCTGGTTTCATCATTGACCGAATCGGACGACTTCCTGTGTTGGCAATGTCTTTATATACACAAGGCGCACTTGGAGCATCACTCTATATAGTTCAGGTAAAAGAAAATAATTGTGATAAAATTTTTTAAAAGAGTTTTAAGGTATTTAATATCCTTTCTTCAGGATTACTCTACCTTCTTGATTATCCGTGGACTTCAGGGTGTCTTTATCCAAGGATTACAAAACGCCAGCTGTATGTTGATTTTTGAATTATTTCCAACAAGAGCCAGGACCATTGTTGGCATGGGCATGCAGTTATTCTTTTCTTTTGGAATAATAATGATTGCTGGTTTGAGCTTCATTATACCTGACTGGAGAATTTTACAGCTGGGTATGGCGGTTCCTACAGCCGTAACAGTGCTTTATATATGGTTATTATATTTATAAAATTGATATAGGATATATGTATAGTGGCATATGGTACTTAACTTGCTCAGAAAGATTTCACGATAAATTTTACTACAACTATTTTCAGGATTATTCCAGAGTCACCAAGATGGCTTATTGCTAAAGGGAAATTTACAGAAGCTGATATTGTAATCGAAAAATTCGATAAATATAACGCCTGTTGCTCGAGAACTTCTCAAGCCGAAGAGGGCAATGATACTACTGTTGTTCAGAATTCAAATGGTACTAATGTTGTAAGCGAGCCTAAAAGACGATCTCGAATTCTCAATATCGATATAAAAAAAAATAATGAAGAAATTGTCGAAGAGTCTACAAATTTATTACACAATGGAGACGTTATCGAGCAAAAAGTGCAGAGTACGTAAAAATCTTTGATAATGGTGCAAAAATTATTTTAGAATATGCATATAACATTGAATTTTTTATTTCGATTGTAGAAGTCAGCTTGAGAGCCAGCCCCAACAATTTGGAAAAAAGACTTTCGAATTTTCAAACTAGTCATGGATATACGAAAGAAAAAAGCGACGCGGTTGAACTCAAACCCGATTTACCCTCGAATAATTCAAACAGTAATAGAAATTCCAAAAATGCGGAAACAGCAAAAAATGCGAATAACACCATAAGGAATGATGCGATAGCCGAGCTTGAACAAAATTCAGAAAAAGATGTCGAAACTGAAAGCGATTCAAAAGAATTGGAAACAGAAAATGATATTAGTCTTGTGGAAGATTCGAAAAAAAAGAATACTCAAAATATTATTGACTTATTAAAACATAAAGCACTCAGGAGGTACTTATTTGTTACCTTGCTACTGTGGTGAGTATCATAAATACCAACCATACCAAATCGACAAAATAATTATTTTTCAATAATGTAATTTAAGGTTCAGTTGCTCAGTGTGTTATTACACTGTAACATTCTTACTACCAAGTTCGGATGGTAACAAACACATAAGTTTCGCCACTGGCGGCGCCTTGGATATTTGCGGTTACACAATAGGCTACTTTATATTAAATAAATTTGGTCGAAGAATACCCATATGCATAGGTCAATGCTTTTCTGGCAGTGTGTGTCTGACAGTGATAATTCTCACGCTGTTACCCAATCAATCATTAGTCTGGATCGGTAAGTCAATTAATTGTATCATAATAAAACTAATGATTGTCATAAAATTTTTCGAAAACTCAAATCTTTCGATTTCACTCGTGTTAATTGATATCGTTTCCAGGACCCATGAAGACGATCCTCCTTGTGCCGTGTAAATCAATATTGCTAGTTCTATTCACATCACTTTTTATATATACTATGGAACTATTTCCAACGGTTGTGCGCGGTGCTTCCTTAGGTTTATGCGGAACGGTGGCACGAATAGGTACTTTAATTACACCGCAAGTCTTGTTATTGGTACGTAATTGATTTTTATGAATATTTTAAAAAGCAATGAGAATAATATATATATTTTTTCTTTTTATTTCAGGGTGATTATGTATCAACATTATTTCCGATTGGCATTGCGGGAATTCTAAGCATTATTTCAGGGCTCACCATATTGTTACTGCCTGAAACTTTGCACGAATCCTTGCCGGATACTATAGAAGATTGCGAACGTCTTTTTCGTAAGAGAAAGCAAAATAAAAATGAAATAAATAATAAAGGGAGTGGTGGTGAAGAAGAAACGCGTGAGCGTAATGCTTTGCGTGAAAAACTCTTTTCTGAAGAATGGGTTGATGCTGGTAACGGTATAATTGTAAATTTTTCTGAAAATAAGAACGCAAATTAAGTATCCTCGGTGTTTAGTATCTGATCTTGTTACGTGAAAGCGTTGTGATTTGTTATAATCACTTTTTGATATTTAGCTGTATAGCAAGCTAGGTAATAGACCGTGTAAGTGTGAGTATATGAAAGAAACAGGAAGTAATATATGTAAACTACTAGGATAGATACGCGCTACTTCCTGGAATTATTACGGAAACCGTTTTGTCTCGCTTCGTTTGATATTGGATGATGTTAGCAAATTACGGTGGCTTTTTCGAATTTTTTTTTTTACGAGAATACTGGTATTTTTGAATTTATATTTGCCTTCTTGCATTCCTTTTCTGTCGAGGTCGATGCTGTGAATATACTTGAATTAAAGTTCCAAAATGGTTCGTTTCATATTGTAAATGTTAATTATTAGAGGCTGAGAAAGACCAAAGTATTTAGGTTTTTTAAGACTAGTCTATAAGATGATATTGTAACATATATGTTTAATTATAACCACCCTTACTCATTCACGATTAGATTTTATGATAACTTGTATTACATTTATTCTAACGCTGCAAGCTGTCATAAATTTTTACGTTACACTTTATAGGAACTTAGAATAATGATTTGTTTTACTACAGTGATAAAATTAATATTGAAAGTTTATGAAGGAAATATATCATTGTAAAGCAGGACATGGAAAAATATATTGCTATCGATTATTTTACTGTCATGCTTCCTGTCATCTATATAATCTTAAACATCTTAAAAGAATCAACTCTTGTATAATAAATATAAAAAAGCATTTTATTTGCAACGTATGTTGAATCTAAAGTGCATTGCTTTAAAGGAAAATAAAATTTACACCTCAGTATAAAATAACAATTATCTTCGTAGAACTTATTATTGTAGGTATACAATATTTCACAGTCTTTAAGGTACCTTTGGCTGCACCATACCATTGTTTTGCGGATTGTTGGGTTGAGTTTGTTCTGCAGCTGTTTGAAGAAGTCTCGTTCGGCGTCGTGTGTAATGTTGCCAGAGCAAAATTTGTTGGTCGTCAATGAATTTTGTACATTGCGAGTTAACAACTTCCCTTCTGAAGTGTTCATACTGAAGGAGATCCAAGAAATAAAGACACATTGGATATTTCAAGTACTTCGCGTACTCCGGTTCCTTCCAGTATAATAAATATTTCAGGTAATTTATAAATGTAGAGTCCTTGAAATAACCACGCTGTGCCAAAACTGCAAAAAGAAAACTATTTATAACCTCTACTTAATTCATCTAATACAGTTAATAATATAATAAAGTAAATACACATCATGAACATACAGTTTAAGTAGTTTGGATTTGCAAGGCATTGGACAAACTCCAGCTCAACTTGAAAACGTAAACGTTGCTGATCCTCTGTTTCAGGGCCCCCTACAAGAACGTTGAAAAATATATATTAATCCTATATGCATTTTTAACATTTTTCGTAATATTATAATAAAATAATATATATGCAACATTGTGAATTTGCCATCTCAGAATAAAATCAACATTGCGAATAATACAACTAACCGTTCATTCCGATAAAAGATGGCTTCCTGCCCTTAACGAGACTGGGAGGATCTTCCAAACGATTCATATTATCAAGCCTCGTATAGATATACCGTCTAATAATACTTTATTACACTCAACAAAAACTGTAGCGACAAAATCGAGCAAGAAACTATACAGAAACACTTTGGACGGCTTTTTAAGCCGCCATTGCCGCCATGCGCTCATCCGATACGTCACGATCGTTACGTCGGCCGAAGCTACTCGAAAATACCCGAAGACTGTGGCGAGGACACTTAAGACCTTTGACTACGGCCTTAAATCTTAGCATTTCTACCCTCCAAACACGCAAAATGATTTTATTGGTTGGTGGCTTTTCGCCTTTTAGCTGAAACTACTTTATGCGCCAATGATCAGAATCTCAGGATTGCTAGGATTCGCGTAATATCAAATACACTATTAAACGTTGATTCGTTCAGAAGTACATACGTCGTATAGTAAAAGCCAGTTACGCTATTCAAAATAATAACAAATAAGCTATAAAGCATAAACAGTGAAGCCAGCAATATTTTAAATAATCTACATAGTGTTATTGAGTAATATATTACGCTCTGGAATAATTTTCAAGGAGAAAATGGTTTTAATTGAAATTATAAGTCCAGCGGAGTATAAAAGAAATAGCTCAGAATTTGAGATCACGTATGGCTATCATCAAACACCTTTTGGAAAATGTCTAATTGGTATGACAACGAAAGGCGTGTGTTATTTATCATTCGTGGATCAGTCTGAATCCAGTGCTTTCAAAACTCTGAAAGCTGAATGGCCAGACGTAAAATACACGAAGGATCAGAGTGCAATCAAAGGAATTGTGGAAAAGATTTTTCATGAAGATGATGGTACACTCAAGGATTCTATATCCGTTGTACTTAAAGGTACGGAATTTCAAACAAAAGTTTGGCAGACACTCCTATCCATCCCTGAAGGAGAAACAAGGACGTACGAAGAAGTCGCTCGCATGATTGATAAACCAAAAGCCATAAGAGCGGTTGCCAATGCCGTAGCGAATAACCGCGTTGGATATTTGATTCCTTGTCATCGAGTAGTTGGAAAAATGAATATCAGTAAATATCAATGGGGAGCTGAACGTAAGAAAGATATATTAGACTTCGAAGCAAAACGATCTGGTGCACCTTAAGAAATTTTTTACTGCGCATAAATTGTATCGTCACAGTGTCTCGTTTGATTAATGTTTACATATATATAACTATTTAGTCAGAGAAATGCAATGTGTAAACTTATCGTACAATTTGAAATAAAATTATAATTATCAAAACAATTAATTTTTTTGAATACAGGTTGTATGCATATTCTGTTGGTATTACAAAAAAATCGATTCATTCAATTGGTAAAGGGTTCTTGGTCTTCCTACGCCGTTACAGTGGCACCACTGTTTATTTAAAATCCAACGGCAGGTATTCCAGTAACGGACGCGTGGATCGCGAAGAGTAGAACAGGTGGTTTATCGAAAATGAATATAAATCGTAGATGTGAAGATAATTTTAAGAAATCCATCAGTGCCTTTAGTAAGTGTAGTATAAATCAATTCATTTTTGACATTCTTTAATTCTCTGTTCCATGTAAATGTGTAGACTTACTGGAAGGAAATATATTTTGGGCTCACTTCTGGTTTTTCTTTATTTGTTTGCAACTAGAAACAGATTCGTCAAGCAGCAATTCCCAATTGAACGAGGCATTTGATGCTGGGTCTAATTGCACTTCGGGCACTGAAAATTTTGGTATGCATGAAGCAATCACAATAATATTTATGGCTGATCTAAAACTTTTGTCTAAGTGATGATTAATGTCTAAGCATTTTGTGTTTGATGTATTTTTATAGTATCTTGTGAAGAATCTTCTGGACCTTATCAGACTTCCCATATGCTGGCTGGGCGACTTGTCAGTGAAGCTAAACAAGGTATAACAACAGGAGTTGTACAAACTTTTACTGATTCTACAATTTTAGCGGGACAGTTGGAAAGTTTGAAAATAGATGATACATTTGATAAAGTAACCACTATATTGAATCAATTGGTATCTTTATCATCACCCAATGAAAATAGTGAATCTAATGATGTTGCGGGCATGGCAGATTCTATGACTAAATTTACAAGTGACGATATGCCTAAATCTCTGGATATTGCTAGTAGAGAATTAGAAAAGCAAGAAGATACAATTGGTAGATATAATAACCTAATAGTTGATATTTCAACCACTGTGTGTCAAAAGTGCAAAGATAAGCTCCAAACAAAATTTCAAACTATCGGCAGAGATGCTAATTACAATGTACAACAAGCTGTACATGATAGATGTATTAAGGATGGACACACATCCAAACAAGTACCTCTTACTATAAAGAACTTAAAAGAACATACTGACATATCAACATCGAAATATTTAAAAAATCAAATTGTACCTAATAAACATTACGTTCTGTCGCCACGATGTAAACCTGCTTCATCAAAAATTTTGTCAAAAAATATAGTTCCCAATAGTAAAAAATTAAATATACTGAAAAATAAAAGTTATATAGACAGATTAACTACTTTACTTGAAGAATCACAAAATGAGAGACAGCATGAAGGACTCCATAAGAACACAAAGTTTATTCAAGATGAATCAACACCTCAATGGGCTCCATCCTTTAATGAATGCTCTATTATGAATAATGAATCAAAATCATGTGCATGCTCCCACAATCCAACAAAAAGTACAAACAGCAAAATGTCCTTGAAAACGTGTAAAACTATGAAGGATAAAGAGAAACATAATAATGTTAAAGATTCTGCACCACCATCACGATTAATATCTACCAACTCATGTACAGAAGAAACATTTCTTTACCTAGAACATTTGTGTAAAGTATGCGACAACAGTATCGTCATGGAAAATACTTCAACTTGTGTAAATCAAAATTCAAGTAGTAGTAGCAGTTCTGCATTAGATTTGATATGTGATGTTCAAATGGCATCCCTGGATAACGAGGAAAGTCTTAATACAAAGTTACTTCGTGAATTAATTGCAACAAAGAAATTGTGTCGGGATCTAATTGATATGCATCCGCAAAAGAGAAGTGATCAGCGATTGCGTAGGACAAGACAGTCTATAGACAATTTTCTCAGGGTACTCGCTCAAGGAGAACGCACAGTATCTCCGAATACAAAGAAAATAGAAAGATCTAATACAATGTCAGGAAATAATGTGTCCAGGGTTGTAAATACATCACCCATTAAACCAGTATCTTCTCTACGAAAGCTGTTCTCACCAAAACTGAGTACGTCAATAAATAATATTGATTTGAAAAATCTTTCACATTTATAGTTTATGCGTGGCAGAAGTAGTAAAGGAAATTTGTGTTTTATAGGTACTATTTCGCCTAGTACAACATCGTCGTCAACTTCAGTAAGGAGATCAGTAAAGTCGCCGATAAAAAATGTACGTTCACACCTAAAACCGTCACCCAAGAACGTCACTCAATATAGTTCAAAAAAACTTTCCTCTTCAAAGCTAAGAGTAGCTCCAAGTAAGATCAATTGATTTGATTTAATTTTAATGCAATGCAATGCTTTATGATTACACTATTAAATTCTGTGGAATTTTTAGATATTTTAACGCCACCCAGAAGATGTTTGCCAACAGTTTTGATAAGTGAAAATACTTATGCGTCAGGAGAAAGTAATTTTATTAAATGGTATGTATTTCTAACTATTTATTTCATTATTTCCTATAATGTTAGCTGACTAATATTTATATTTATGTGTAAATGTCATTAGTGGAGAAAAGTGTTCAACGCCCAAAATCTTCGTGACACCGTCCAAAAACATAGGCAGCAATAAAGGCTTGAAGTTAAGACCAAAAAAATACTTCGCCGACGTATTATAGAGTAAAAAGAGTACAATCAAATCTTTATTTTTCGTTATAATGTTTCATTTTATTTTATTCACAAGACTTCATATTTTTATCTTATTCTTCTTCACAATAAAAGCAGCTAATTAGATTGTTAAGAAGACTTATATGTTTATAAATAAGTTGTTATATTTTAGTTCGAGTTGATTAAATAATCATATACTTACAAAGAATATTAATCCACAGTAAAGTCAATTCTTGCTTCTGCTCACGAACCTAAACCAAAGTCATATCCACGATCATGAATATCGATAGAGTACTGTAAATTTGTACCACTAACAAAAGCAGTACTCTACTTACTCCAGGCTAAATAAGATAGATCCACAAGGCAATCAGTAATTGTAGCCCCAATGGTAAGTTCCACTTCATTTCAAATGTAAACTGATTCACTTCGCACAGTGGCACACTCTAGTGCACTGAAAATGAAACACCGTTTCCCTTTCCACATTTCATGTAATACCGACGTGGGGAGTCAGCTGCAGCATTTATACGGGTGAACAGCCCATAGGCGCTTCAGTCTCTGCTTGGGACGTGATCGCGCGAGCATGGGGTTGATAGGTGCCCCACGAGACGAGTTCAACTTGAAATTCTGAGGGTATATTCGCCGATTTAACAAGCGGCTAGAAAGTACACAAATCATTGAGGAGCTGTGAAAATTAAAAAAAATAAATCAGAAGAAAACCGAAGTACTTATAGCGAGTGTCCACTCGCAGGAGAAGGTTATTTTTCAAAATTGAAACTGTGATTTGAACCAGGACAAGAGCGAATGTAAGGGTAGTGTAAACGGCGTGAGCCCTTCGTCCCTTTAAAATACGGCAGTGCCTCTGGCGTAATCTGCATTAAAAACAAATCCAAGAGTAGCACTTTGAACAGTTAAGACGTAATTTTTTATTAACGCGAGTGTACCAATATCAGAAGTGATTAGAAGTACCGAGTGTCCTGGATAAGATAACTAGGTAAGCCGAATGCAGTTACTTCATTAAATAACAGTAAGGTTCGTTCATTCAATTACGCATAGATAGTTTCTTTATTACATCTCTAGACGATGTATACATATGTATCTGCGCGTACAATCATAAAAAGGTAATAACATTCTAGATACTTAATCCGTCTCGGGACGGTGCGCGTAGCGCAATTTAATCTGTCGATTCTAAATGAGCAACAGGAGCATAATTAACTTAACGAACGTCAAACTCGTTATCGATTCCACACCATCAGGTGTTATCACTGTTACAATGACTTATGTGACGTAATATCGATAACAATAATCTCTCATATCTACCTTAAACATTTATACATAAAATCAATGATTTTGGTGAAAATCCATTACACTAAATAGTAATTTAAATTCACCTGTGCTTATCAGGAAATTAAACGTCCAGTCAGCATAAGAATTTTTAGCATTTAATATCTGATATATCCAAACAGTACTAAAGAATATTAATCAGGAAGTTCAACAAAGCGCGATCCAATTATTCTTATCCATTGACAATAAAAATAAAAGACTTCCAGTTGGTACGTAGACTTTGCCACTGCCCTGTTAATGTGCTGCTGATAACAAGTAAAACAGTCGTAATCAAGAATCCCATGAATCAGAGACTAAATATTGTAAAAAGTTAGTTTAAATCCTGAACAAACAATATTGTCCCTATTGTAATCCACTTATACTTCAATCGATGTGCATAGTATAGGAAATTTTTAATTTTTATTTATTACTTTTATGTAAGATACGAGGGTCCTCTATGTACAGGCGCTTTGGTATGACAGCACGTTCCTCCGTATACGTCTAATCCATTACAAATCGCAGAGCACGCGACTTCGAAACGAGCGTGTAAGTAAATTCGTAACGCGCACACGTCGTGCCAGCTACAGGGGTAGGTAGGTAGGTAGGTAGGTAGGCAAACTGGTAACAGAGTGGATCGCAAGAGCCGTAGAATGCTGCATCATTACAGAGTCTCGCGGCGTCGGGTTCAGTTAAAAGTGAATGGAGCGGACCCGCTCATTCACAAGATTTTCTTCCGTGGTGAGACCCCGTTGCCCGCCGGCCACCTTCGTACCTATATCCAGTACAGACAACATTATAAACATAATTGTCTATGTAGATTTAAGTAGTTGATACAAAGCGTCATGTTCGGGACGCTCGTATTCGAATGTCCAGCTCGTATACTCTTAATTAATTGATCAAAAAATATTTCAACGAACCTCATGGACCACCTTGGTTAGCGTTCAGGTAGTTTCTTTTTACCGTTCAAGTTTTTTTTTGTATTCGTGGTTTTTACGTGAGCGGTCATTTTATATATTTTTGTCTTGCCGCAAGAGGCGTACACGTTCTCGCGGTCTTTCCGATTTCATGGGTTATCCTGGCGTCGCGTGTTTTACTGAATTAATAAAAATTCATTGCCTCGCATACATCGAGGCGGATCAGGTATAATGACGATAATCCATCTCGTTAACCGCGCACGCGGCGATCTTGAGACTCGGCGGCCATGATAAATCGCTTGCGGAGTGTTACGGACATTATCGGTGCCCTGAGACGCGGATACAAAATGAAGATATCATATTTCTTAGAGCGTACGTTCCGCGCCATTATAATCTACTGGCCAGATATTTTCTTTGATGTACATACAGTAAAGTACGGCCAATGATCTTGCACCTGTATCTAGAGTCGAGTCACTTTGATATATCCATAAATAGACATACAATAAGTCAGAATTATTGGAAATGATTTTCATGAGTGTGCATAGCGCTTGGGGTTATCTATGGAAGCAGTCATGCGAAGAGATGTATACAGTAAGAAACCGCAATAATAAAAGTCTGCCACGAGATCAAGGAATTATAAAAGAAATAGTCAGCCGTGGTTTTTATAAATACACATATACGTACGTATGGCCGATATATGTATGTCATACATTTATTTAAATGTTGCGCATCTCTGTGTACTATGTGTTCGATGGAGAATGAAAACACGTCTAGAGGTCTCTTGAATCCTCGTCTGTCCTTTCGTCGAGTCTAGTCTAGAGAGAAGAATATGGCCGACTTTGGTATTCCGTGATGGCCGCAGGCTTTGTTTATAACGCCGGGACACAGAGCGACGATAAAAATGTAGAAACGACCGACTGAAATTCGAGTTGTGGGCGGGATTCGTCGTGCCGTCAGGGGAGGACTGTGTTACCGAGCCTAGATGGATATACAGAGGAGCGACGCTAGACGGAAAACGAGAGAGTCATTTCAGGAATAACGGTAATGCGATATATATACATATTTATACAAAGAAATGGCGTTATCCACGAGAATGTGAAATGCTCGGTTACACTCTATGCATACCGAAAGATCTTTTATTTTTTTACACGCCTATTTTTCAAATTTGTCGATAGTCGCTCATTTGACTCTTCGAAATTCCTTGAGGCGCCATCTATGGCGGTTGGCTGAGTCAAACAAGAGAATTACGATTTTGTTATGGCGACTAATCGAAGATGGTGAGAAAAATGGTTAATGAATAGTTTAGAGAATTTGCTTTATTTAAATATACCTATTTTAAATACACATTTGACTTTGCTACGGAAACTGTTGACGAGCAGCCAGTCGAATCAGTTCCGCGAGCGTGAGTGTACCGTTGCGTGATCGTTGTCTTGACAATCGACAAACAATTGACTCATTCGATGTAAAAAGAAGGTAAGAATTAATTCCGCGTGGTACAATAGAGCTCTTAACGAGCTTAAGCCATAGAGTCAGATACTTCGTGAGATTAGAATCGCGAGATACTAACGTGGTTAATATAGTTATTACGCCTCTTTCGGTTACGCGCTTCTGAGAAAATCTTCGCTTTAAGGAGTGAGTGAGCAAATGAGACATCTCGTCGCGATTCTAGTAATCGAGAGGGAGAAAGAGAGACAGTAAAAGATGGATACAAGAATTAATCCAAAGAAACGACAAGTTTCGCGATTCACTCGAAAGCTGCTCGACGTGTCGTAAATATGCAAAGTCTCGCAGTTGGACAGGCTTAATCCCTGTGGTACATAATCATCTGCTTATACTGCTGGACGTGTACAACACGTGGCAATCGTCCGCGAGCGTATTGAGAGAGAAAAAAGTGAATCAAAGATAAGCAAAGAAAGAACGATTTTATTACCAGGAATAAAATTATTAACCACGGGATCAATGGCAACACGAAATACATACGTGGAGTGATTTAAGTGAGATTGTAGTATTTGTGTTAAATTTTTAAAGATGCAAACCAACGTATTTCTGTATAAATATTTATCGTTATCGTCGGATCTTCGCTGGGAATAAATGCAAAATCCATCAGAGACTGGTAGTCGTCGCGTGTCATCCTGAATCGTGATCTCGCGAACGATGACGAAATCATTGCCGGAGTAGTCAGGTGCATGAAAAATTATCTATAGTATGTAGAATCACGATGATATAAGCCCACCGTAACAGCATCGGGAACAAACCAGTACCTACCGGTGCGAATAGATTCAATACACAATCAAGAGAATCGGCGTGTGTCGGATTAGCGAGCTTCGAGAAACTCGAACTGGTGACATTTTACAGACGCCTTTCTAAACTGTAATCCTCGGTCGCCCGTGTCTACTCACGAACCTCCAACCTCCGGCATTATATATCCACCTTGTATTTTTTTACATTCACAAAGTCAAATATCCCATACGGGATTGAAAAAGAGACGCCAGAAATTCCAGCAGCGTGTAACGTGGGGTCTCATTTCCCATGTAGAGACTTTTTTTCTTCCGGCATTGGTACCACTGTGTGTTTTTTCTCTTACTGGCTTATTAGTATATTTTTTTTCAACGAGCACCAAATGGAATCCCGGGCTTCTAGAATTTAAAATTAAAATCACTTTGATTCTCACGATTCAAGCGTTCCGAATTACTCTGTGTCTGTCAGGTTCGGTGATCATTGCGTGGACGTATTTACAACGACTATGTGTATATATTGTAGACAGTGTGCAATAATGGCGGATGCGTCAGGTATTTGGCGAACGGTACTTGCCTATTTACATTCTATCCTACTTGCGAGTTTACACGTCCTTTATAAAGTTCCTTCTCTTTCTTTTTTCTTGTCTTTCTTTTGCTCCTCTTCTTTACTCGCACGCTCCAGGGCTTCAGGGCTCGACGTGTTAACGCTCCTAGGTTATGTTATGTTGCGTTACGTGTTGGTAATTTACCGACGGTGCGCTATTGCTATCCCGAGAATAATGACTGTCGCTACTCCTATAATTATACGCGATATATTACAACGTTGTCGGCGCGCGATGCGTATCGACGACGATTTTTTTTTGTTCAAAGCTTGCAAAACAGTTGGCGTTTTTAACTCTTTATTTTTTCGTATTATTCACCGGGCGCCACTTTAACGTGGCTATTAAGTAACGACACTCGATTATCTCTCCTCGAATTTCTCTTAGATTCAATTAAATAATTAAATGCGCAAACAAGACACGTTGAAATATTTATCCTGACGAACATCTTTCTCTCTCTTTTTTTTTCTTTGTCGTTTTTTATTTCTATGCGAATTCACGTCATAGACTATTCGTTCGATTATTATGCTTATAATATTCAGCTGGATGATCTTGTCGCGTGACTCACACCGTTTTGAGGTGCTTTATTACTCAAATAAAATTCCATGTAGGCATTTGTGATTGTCAACTTGAAATGGGAATAAAAGGCGAAAGAATTTCTTTTCTGAAAAAGACTCACAGCTGTGTATACGCATGGCGCGATATTCAAATAATTTCACTCGGCCGTGTCTTCGCCGCGGAGAATGTCTTTTATTTATTTTTTATTATCCTAACAACGTATCTACTTGCTGTTTCAGAAAGAATCAAGCGAAAGATGTCGGTGCTATTGGAAGCGAGGCCGTACAGGCCCTTCAAGTCCTCCGAGGAGTATCTTGTGGCTATGAAGGAGGATCTAGCCGAATGGCTGAACGCTTTGTACCCTGAACTCAGAATGAATCTCGATAATTTTATGGACAGATTGGATACCGGCGTGGCACTTTGCAAGGTGAGTTAGCTTTAACGAGATATTGAATTATCGATTAACGTCACATGCAGATCAGTGTGTACTGACATTACTGAAACAACGCGTGGTTATCTTACAGTTTGACCATGGCTTGTCGGAAGTGTCGTTACCTACTCTCTAGAAGTACAGTTGCAAAATTCAGGTCACTATGACCTGAAGTTACCTTTGGCCTTTGTCGAATAATCCTTGATTTAATATACTTCCCACCTGGACGACCTTGCCCACATGACTGTGCTACGTGAACTTTTACATATAGACATACTAACCGGGCACAAGTGAAACGTCAGATTCGAATGAGAAGCCGAAACAGAAAATTAGTGAAATTTTTCAAAAAACTTTTAAAGCTCATTGTCGATCTTCACCGCATTTTTAAGGGTCCTCGTATTTCTTAATTAAGTCCTGCAATTGACGTGTACAGTGTCGCTGACGCATGCGCAGAAACTCCGACGCGTTAGACCATACGTAATAAGCTGCACTACGTCTGCCTTGCGAACGGTTCTTTAATCTTGTCAGTATATTAGAGAGGAAGGATGCGTGTGACGTAGAACGGAAACTCCACGACATACGTGATACTAATAACCAATTGGATTTGACAAATGGAAATACGGGGTTAAGGCAAAAATCGAACGAGAATTCTCGATTTTTATAACCTCCGACGGTGAGCGTGATGAAATATATATATTTTTCACTTTGGCTGTTTCCTTTTTTAACATTTCTAAAAAAAGAAAGACTCCCCCTCGGTTAGTGTCTAATCAATAAATTCTCTTTCTCGTTTCCTTACGTCTTCTGAGGTTTCACCCGCAGTCGAGGCAATGAATTGTTTCTTCTGTCGGTAATGGGAAATCCCGATGGTGTTTCACTGTAAATTAGAAAATGTAGTTCCGTGCTCTTTCGTGTTTGGAAAGTGACGCCTTCACTTCGTCATTGTCATCTTACGCGTCCGTATATTTGTACGTGGATAAGCATCGCGTTACGTACGTGACTATTGATTCGGAAGGTTCGATGACCAAAATCGATAATTTGACAATCGAACGGAATTGAATTCGCACTTTGGTTCCCAGACGAACGTAGTCGGAAATGACCTTTGAAATTCCATCTGGCAATTGTCTATTGATATTCCTGCTACGTGACTGCAAGTGTCGCGCGGCTGTGGAGGCTATTTTCACGGAGAGAGAAGAGGATAAAAAGACTTTCGCTGATACCACTTTGATCGCTCTGTGCAATTGTTAACGTCAGTATTACCCATTGATCATTTCGAACAGTTCTCGCGACTCAATACACCTTCTCTGTCCGCTTTCACCTTAGCTCCAAATAATCGAGACACGATCTACGAAAGATCGCACAAAGGAAATGCCTGGACGAGAGAAAAATATCGCCTCCCAAAATCGATTCTGGCTAAATATTTATTTTCAAATAATCGAACTTTCGTACCGCTCGGTCGTCTGTCTCGTTGCACAATGCTCGGCTGTCCGTGGAGCGATATTGAATTTTTCTTTTTTTTTTCCATCTCTTTTTTTTTTCTTTTTCAAATTTTTTCTATATACCAATGTTACTCAATGGCAAGTCATTTTTTCTTCAACTTGTCACAGTGACACTTATCGAATGAAACTCTCGCTCTCTCTCACTCTCTCTCTCTCTCTCTCTCTCTCTCTCT